AAGGCCCCACGTCCACACACATGGCCCCAGGTGCACACACATGGCCCCAGGTGCACACACAGGGCCCCACGTGCACACACAGGGCCCCACGTGCACACACAGGGCCCCAGGTGCACACACATGGCCCCAGGTCCACACACAGGGCCCCAGGTCCACACACATGGCCCCAGGTCCACACGCAGGGCCCCAGGTCCACATACAGGGCCCCAGGTGCACACACATGGCCCCACGTCCACACACAGGGCCCCACGTCCACACACAGGGCCCCAGGTGCACACACAGGGCCCCAGGTGCACACACATGGCCCCAGGTCCACACACAGTGCCCCAGGTCCACACACAGGGCCCCAGGTCCACACACAGGGCCCCAGGTCCACACACATGGCCCCAGGTCCACACGCAGGGCCCCACGTCCACACGCAGGGCCCCAGGTGCACACGCAGGGCCCCAGGTCCACACACAGGGCCCCACGTCCACACGCAGGGCCCCACGTCCACACTCAGGGCCCCAGATCCACACACAGGGCCCCACGTCCACACGCAGGGCCCCACGTCCACACACAAGGCCCCACACCACACACAGGGCCCCACGTCCACACACAGGACCCCATGCCCACACGCAGGGCCTCATGTCCACACCCAGGACCCCAAGACCACACGCAGGGCCCCACGTCCACAAGCACGGCACCAAGTCCACACGCAGGGCCCCAGGTCCACACACACGGCCCCATGTCCACACGCACGGCCCCACGTGCACTCGCAGGGCCCCAGGTGCACTCGCAGGGCCCCAGGTGCACACGCACGGCCCAGTCCACACACAAAGTCGCTGCCCTGAGCTCCCCACCTGCGGTCGTGCCCTGATGTCTCTGTCCCAACCCGGCCTGCCAGGCACACAAACAGCGCCCTGGATGCCCTGGGCCTGAGGCGGGTGGCACCTGAGCCCGGCCTCAGCGCTGCCAGAGGGAAGGGGCAGCCCCTCCTTTCCAGCACCCAGGTCTCAGGGGCCACTGCCCAGGGCGTCCAAGAGCTGCCTGTCACACGACCGGGAACAAGGGGAAGCAGAGGTCGGCCGGCAGGGCCCGCGTCACCAGGGCCCCGGGGCCACGTGCGAGGTCAGAGCCGCACCTGGAACCGCGCTTTGTGGGGAGCTCCCCCGCCCCTCCAGCCACGGCACCTCCTCGCCGCGTCGCGTCACGTCACGTCACTCAGGGCATCTCAAGCAGACAAGGAGCCAAGTCCCATCAACAGCCTCCACCCAGTCCCCGGAGCAGCAGGGAAACTGGAGCGACCCCCACCGAGCACCAGGGCGCCCGCTCGGGGAGCGACACGGGGAGAGCAGGATTCCACGTCGCAAGCCCACCGCAGTCCTCACGCGGCTCCATGCAGCCCGCTCTGGCCCCCGGCCAAGCCCCGCACACAACCAGCCCGTAGCTGCCACCCAGCCTGTGCCTGCTGACCGACCGACTGGCCAACCGGTTCACCAGACACTCCCCAGGCCTGCTGGCTGTGAGCAGCGTGCTGCCACCCATCGAACCCCACCCCCAGGCCCAAGTGCAAGCAGCCAACCAAGTCCTCTCGGCAGAACCCAGAAGAAAGTGACGGGCATCACTGGGGCAGGCCCCGCGCCCAGGGGGCGTCTCCCAGCTTGGGGGCAGGCCCCGCACCCAGGGAGTGTCTCCCAGCCCAAGGGACGTCTCCCAGCCCAGGGGGCGTCTCCCAGCTCAGGGGGTGTCTCCCAGCTCAGGGGGCATCTCCCAGCTCAGGGGGCATCTCCCAACTCAGGGGACGTCTCCCAGCTCTGGGGGCATCTCCCAGCTTGGGGGCAGGCCCCGCGCCCAGGGGGCGTCTCCCAGCTCTGGGGGCAGGCCCCGCACCCAGGGGACGTCTCCCAGCTCAGGGGGCGTCTCCCAGCTCAGGGAACATCTCCCAGCTCAGGGGGCAGGCCCGGCGCCCAGGGGGCGTCTCCCAGCTTGGGGGCAGGCCCCGCGCCCAGGGGACGTCTCCCAGCTCTGGGGCTGCCAGCTGTACAGCAACAGGCCTCAGCCAGATGACACGGCCCCTTGGGACGGCAGAAACTCAAGCCTAGGGGACCTCACACTACAGGCTGGCAGGACCCACCAGACACACACCTGCCGATCTAAGCACAGCCAACCACCCCTGGGCCAGTCAGCCCTCGCGCGCACACCTGGGCCACATCAGACACCTCTTTGCGCCAGGCATCTGAAGCACGTGTCTGCTCCAAACCCAACCACGCCCACTCACAAGTGCAGGTCCGACCACGGGACAACGAGACACACAGGCGGGGGCGGCAGATGCCCGGAAGCTCCATTCGCCTCTGCCAGCCTTGGGACCCTCGTGGAGGGAGACCCGACTCCCACTCATCCACACGTGGCGGGAGGCCCGCCTCCCACTCATCCACACGTGGCGGGGAGGCTAGGACGCACACCCAACAGCAAACTGCCAAGATCAGCAACTAGCGCGCCTAGAAGGGGAGGTCCCCCCAAGGTCCCGTAAACACAGACAAAGAAGCCAGCACCCATCCCAGGAGCTATGCAGGCAACAGCGGCGCTCCCTCAGGTGCCCCTTCCTGCTGACCCCCGCCCACCCCCATGGGCCAGCCACTCGCACCTTCTCTCCTGGACTTCAGGGCAGGCCCCTGGCTCCCTGGCCACTCCTCCCGTGCCCCCTGTGCTGCGGGGCCAGCCGGGGAACTGCCTCTCCCCACCTGCCACTGCACACACCGCCCAAGGCCACCACCCTCAAATCCTGACCTCTGCTCACGGCTCCCAAGTGCCCAGCACTCCCTCACACCCCCCGCCCAGGGCCAGGACCTGTGCAGGTGCCCAGCGCAGCCTCACCCTGCGACCCCACAACAGGTGCAGCACAAGAGCGGGGGCTGCCGGCCTCAGGACCCCTGGAGTGCCGTGAGGCAAACAGGCCACAGCTGTGCACCGTGCCTGACCCAGGTCCAAGCTCACGGAGCCAGAGACACAACTCAAACCCGAACACAACTTTCTCAGAAGGCTATCCATCTCTACCAAGAGGGCGTATTGTCACGGTAACTCTAAAAAAGCAAGCTGGCCCAGCCGCTGAAGTCCATTTGCATCACAACCTTTAAAGGCTCAACCCTGACCAGGCTGCGTAGAGGGACGCCCACCCAGGCTGGGCCACTTACGCAGACTGCGGACGACTGCGGAGCAGAGCACGGGGACCAGGCTGAGGCACGGCGCCTTCCTCACGGCCAGGTCCCACCGTGACGGCCGGCAAGGCAGGCTGTGAGGGCCCCAGCTACTCCCTCGCTGCTGCAACGCTTCCCCGACTTCCCGGGACCAATGTCAACTAACTAGTCAGAGGACAGGCTGGGGAAGAAGTCACTGTCAAGTGACTAATAGTTTTACAAGTTAGAGTGCCACGAAGATGCAGCCCAGGGAGCTTTCTTCTCTCTCTTAGTCACCGTCCTACCGCCCGAGACGGGTACCCGCAGCGTCTCACACGCGCAGCCGACGGCAGGCAGCTTGGCTCCCTCCGGGCCGCCCCGTGCAGACCACAGGAAAACCAGGCTGGCGACCCGTGTCTGGGAGACCAGTGAGACAAAACCTCCCCCAGAAACCTCCTCATTGCCACACTTCAGCAGTTACAGAGTAAGGAGGCTGTCTCGGGCCCATTCTGCGGCACAGCGGGTAAAGTCATCACCTGCAGTGCCGGCATCCCGTTAGTGTACCGGTTCGAGTCCCGGCTGCTCCACTTCCCGTCCAGCTCTCTGCTATGGCCTGGAAAGCAGTGGAAGATGCCCAAGTCCTGAACCCACGGGGGAGACCCAGAGGAACCGCCTGGCTTTGGATCAACCCAGTTCCGGCCGCTGCAGCCATTTGGGGAGGGAACCAGCAGATGGAGACCTCTCTCTCCCCCTCTCCTCTCTCTGCCCCTCCGTAACTCTGCCCTTCAAATAAACAAGTCTTTAAAAAAATAAATAAACAAAAAGTTGTCTCTCTTCCCCCTTCACTCACCCATAAACACGCCACGGAAGGGCAGGCACTCCACCCACCCCTCACACGTCCACTCCCAGAGTGTCCTCGGCAAAGCCCCCAGCCACAGAGCCCCTGTCCCATGGATCTACCGGCTCCTAGGCACACTGCTGTCCACTCGTACCACGGACCCCCTTCCAGAGCACGGACGCGTCTTTCCACAGAGCCCTGGGCCAAGTCCTGCTGCCGAGCGGTGGGTGCGGTGCTGACCTGGATTCCCCGACCTCCAGGGTCAGAACAGTGCCAGCAGCCTCGCTGGGTCCCCCGCTGCCCACGCAGCACACTCCCGCCCTGGGCCCACCCCTCAGGTGTGGGGGTAGCAGCAAGCACGGACCCTCCCTTCACTGTAGCATCCTACAGGAGACAGGAGGCCCAGAACTCACACCTCAGGAAAACCAAAATCAGCCAGCCCCGCAGTGCAGCGCTGCAGCGCACCCTGGTCCTGGGGCCACTCCCGTCTCACGTGCCACCCAGGAGGGCTCCCACCCCCACCCCCACCTACAGTGCACCCTGGTCCTGGGGTCACTCCTGTCCACTGGTCCTGGGGCCACTCCCGTCTCACGTGCCACCCAGGAGGGCTCCCACCCCCACCCCCACCCCCACCGCACCCTGGTCCTGGGGTCACTGCTGTCCGCTGGTCCTGGGGCCACTCCTGGTCCTGGGGCCACTCCTGTCCGCTGGTCCTGGGGTCACTCCCGTCTCACATGCCACCCAGGAGGGCTCCCACCCCCACCCCCACCTACAGTGCACCCTGGTCCTGGGGTCACTCCCGTCTCACATGCCACCCAGGAGGGCTCCCACCCCCACCCCCACCTACAGTGCACCCTGGTCCTGGGGTCACTCCCGTCTCACATGCCACCCAGGAGGGCTCCCACCCCCACCCCCACCTACAGTGCACCCTGGTCCTGGGGTCACTCCCGTCTCACATGCCACCCAGGAGGGCTCCCACCCCCCACCCCCACCCCCACCCACAGCAGCAATGGCAGCGGCACTTCCTGTGACATGCACACACAGCAGCAGGGACCAGATGGGACAGTGGCTATCTGGGGTCAGAGAAGCCAGAGGCCAGCCAGTTCAGACACACGCGGGGTCAGGGGAGACACAGGGGCCAAGGGAGACACAGGGGTCAGGGCTGACATACAGACAGGGGTGAGGGCTGACACACAGGGGCCAAGGGAGACACAGTGGTAAGGGGACACACAGGGGTCGGAGACACACACAGAGGTGAGGGTGACACACACAGGGGTGAGGATGACACACAGGAGTCAGGGGACACAAAGGGGTGAGGGTAACACGCACGGGTCGGGGACACACAGGGGTCAGGGGACACACAGGGGTGAGGCTGACACACACAGGGGTGAGGGTAACACGCACGGGTCGGGGACACACAGGGGTCAGGGGACACACAGGGGTGAGGCTGACACACACAGGGTGAGGCTGACACACACAGGGGTCAGTGGGGACACGCAGGGGTGAGGCTGACACACACAGGGGTCAGTGGGGACACACAGGGGTGAGGCTGACACACACAGGGGTCAGTGGGGACACACAGGGTGAGGCTGACACACACAGGGGTCAGTGGGGACACGCAGGGGTGAGGCTGACACACACAGGGGTCAGTGGGGACACGCAGGGGTGAGGCTGACACACACAGGGGTCAGTGGGGACACGCAGGAGTGAGGCTGACACACACAGGGGTCAGTGGGGACACACAGGGTGAGGCTGACACACACAGGGGTCAGTGGGGACACGCAGGGGTGAGGCTGACACACACAGGGGTCAGTGGGGACACACAGGGTGAGGCTGACACACACAGGGGTCAGTGGGGACACGCAGGGGTGAGGCTGACACACACAGGGGTCAGTGGGGACACACAGGGGTGAGGCTGACACACACAGGGGTCAGTGGGGACACACAGGGTGAGGCTGACACACACAGGGGTCAGTGGGGACACACGGGGTCGGGGACACACACAGGGGTCAGTGGGGACACACGGGGTCGGGGACACACAGGGGTGAGGCTGACACCTCAGGGGAGTCGAGCAAAGGTATCGGGGTCTACACATTCCAAAGTGGGGGGGTCGAGGCCTAACTGTGCACAATTTTTGTCTTTTTGTTTTTAAAAGTCTTAGCATCTTAATGCAAAAACTCAGAGGTATGAAAAAAACACACAAAACTTCTGGTGTGAAGCGTCCGAGGCCGTGCAACCCCAGCCCGACAGCCCGTGATCGACTTCACCGAGCACTGAACAGGGAGCAAGTTCCAGAAGCGGCCGTCTGCCTCTGCAGCCGACACTGCCCGCCTCACGGCCACCTCGGGCTGCCGGCGGTCGCCAGGGCACCCCACAAAGGTCCCAAAGCCGCAAGCGCCTGCCCTGGGTTTCCTCAGCTTCAGTGTTCTGTCACCAAAGGCCTGGCTGTGACGGATCCACGAGGGAGAACTGAGCAGGAGCTGCTGCCCGCTTATGAACACGAAGACACGAAGACACGAGGCACCCAAATCTCGGGCAAGTGCCCCACAACCCGTTCAGGTATCTGCTGCAATATTTTTAAAAGGGCTGGCGTTGTGCCGCAGCAGGTAAAGCCGCTGCCTGCAGTGCCGGCCTCCCATATGGGCACTGGTTCAAATCCCGGCTGCTCCACCTCCGATCCAGCTCTCTGGCCTGGGACAGCAGTAGAAGATGGCCCAGGTCCTTGGGCCCCTGCACCCACATGGGAGACCCGGAAGAAGCTCCTGGCTCCTGGCTTCGGATTGGCTCAGCTCTGGCCGTTGCAGCCGCTTGCGGAGTGAACCAGCGGATGGAAGACTCCCCACTCCCGCACCTCTCCTCTCTCTGTATAAGTCTGACTTTCAAATAAATAAATACATCTTTAAAAATTATATAAAGAAAACAGTTGGGGCCGGCACTGTGGGCGTGGTGGGTAGGGCCACCACCTGCAGTGCCGGCACCCACGTGGGCAGCAGTGCAAGTCCCAGCTACTCCACTCCCAATCCAGCTACTCCACTCCCGATCCAGCTGCTCCACTCCCAATCCAGCTCCCGGCTGACGCACCTGGAAGACAGCAGAGGCCCTGCGCCCACCAGGGAGATGCAGAGAAGCTCCTGGTTCCTGGCTTTTGTCTGGCCCTGCCCGGCCGTTGTGGCCATTTGGTGAGCCAGCAGACAGAAGACAGAAGACAGCTCGCTCTCGCTCTCTCTCTCTCTCTGCCGCTCTCTTTCTAACTGTGCCTTTCAGATAATTATTAAAAAAATAAGTTGTTAATATATTTTGATCAACTCATAAACAACAAGCTATTTACAAAATGCATCTTCAAATGTGCCGCTTCAGGGGCGACACACACACTTCTCCTGGGAGTGGCTCTGGAAGCTACCAGACCCGGCAGCACCGCCTGCCCTCAGAGCTGTGTCCAGCGCCGGGCCTGCAGGGAGCCGAGGCTGCCCTGGGCCACCCTGCCTGTTCAAGGCCAACTGCCCGGCGCACGGCCCCGTGTCCAGGGACTCCGCACTCAGCGACTCTGGAAGGGCCACCTTCCCTCAGGCTCACCAGACGCCACCTGGCCAAGGGGCCTCCTCCCAGGGCCTCACCAACACGGCTCGGCTGGGACTTCAGAAGTCGTCTTCCCACACTCCAACACCGCCGCAGGGTGCCGCGACCCCGAGCCCGGCTGCCTGCACACAGCAGACGCCTGCGCATCTATCCAAACCCCAGCGACCAAGAAGGCCTGCACGCATCCCAGAGACCCCAGCGAGCGCCAGGACCGCAGGCCGGGCAGGCGGGGCCCAGGAGGGGACAGAGGGGCCCAGGGCTGCCCCCAAGGCTGCCCCCAGGGCTCCAGTTATCCTTTGTTCTCTGCAGATGTCGCTGCCACCTGAGGACACCGAGAGGAAAATCAAGCAGGCGTTCGGCCGAAGGCAGGCTCCGGCCCCAGCCCAGGCCACGCAGGCAGCCGCAGCCCAGCGGCGACCCCAGCGCGGACTCGGCCACCACCGCACACCCTTCCTGCCGAGAACTCGCTCTGGGGATGCTCCCATCCGACTAAAGCTGTCCGCGGAAGATCCTGTCCCTGCCAAAGCAACGTGGCAACGTGCGTGTGCACCAAGTGGCGACACGGGCCCCGTGCGTGAGGCATCAGTGCCACCTGACAGCCGGGACCCCCGGCTCTTCCCCGACGCAGCCAGGGAAATGGGGGCACAAGCACCGAGCAGACACAGTGCACAAGCAACAACCCAGACCTCGAACCACGACGACCCTCGTGCCAAGAGCACCTGCCGCCAGAGCTGCCACCGCGTCCCAGGCCTGTGCTCTGTGCCGACCAGCCTGGGACCAACCCACAGCACGGCCGGCTTTCCCGTCCTACCAACAAGCAACACCCTCACCAGAGCTGAGAACCCTGTCAGCCTCGGCGGCACCGCGGAAAACAAGCCCCCGACGCCCACCTCTGGGTCCATGAGGAACCTACACCGGCCCGAGCTGTGAGCTACAGGGTCAGCCAGGACACAGGACATCGCCGAGACCCACCGTGCGGCCCAAGGACGACCTTTAGCGCATCAGCCTAGGACCATCGAGGCCGTGGCAGCTGTGTGCCGCCCCCTGCCTGCTTCATCGCGACGTCCCCTGGATGTCACTTCTGCCTGAACCACTTCGAGGTCACGCACTGGCTCTCTGCAGGGCACTCCAGACAACTGCGATGGCGCCAATGATCCCTCCAACACCTTGTTAGGGTTCCGCGTTACTCCCACGTGGGTAAAATTTAGGCTCCAGCCCCTTCAAAACAGCAAACTACAACAGCACAAAGGCCACCCTGACAACAACCAACCCGAATCCAACAAACGGCTCTCAGGAGCTCCTGGAGGGCGGCCGGGCGAGGCTCTGTCCCGCCCCGGCCCATCCAGGACCCCCACAAAGGGAAGGCCCCACGGGGAGAGCCCTCCCACTCTGTCACTGCCTCCAGCCCGCCTGAGCTGTGCCAGGAACCAGCCATAACCCCTGCTGGTAGCCCAGCAGGAGTTATGTCTCCAAGTTATTCCCATTTCCATTATGAGAGAGTTCCACGGAGAAAAAAACAAGAATTTCCTATTTTCTGATCAACGACAGGGTGTGGAGAGAGTATCGATAACCCTTCTCTTTGATTTATAAAGTCAAATCGTGCTGTCTCGGCGCCAAGCCATCAGCAGTTGTTGGGTTCCTCACCTGCAGACCGGCCCAGGGGCCCCGAGGGGGGCGTCACTCCCTCTTCCTGAAGAGCTGCGGACCCCAGAGAGCACGCGCTCGCTCCTGGGACACTGGCAAACACCCACCCCCGGGTGCAGGGGCCTCCTGGCTGGCAAACACCCATCCCCAGGTGCAGCGGCCTCCTGGCCAGACCCAGCCGGCCAACACTGACCTCCCAGAGCAGCACGAGGCAGACAGGGTCTCAGCACACTTTAGGACCGGGACGGCTGGGGCCGACGCTGTGGCTTAGCCTGCAGTGCCGGTGTCCCACGCGGGCGCCGGTTGGAGGCCCAGCTGCTCCACTTCCGATCTGGCTCTCTGCTGTGGCCTGGGAGGGCAGTGCAGGACGGCCCAAGTCCTTGGGCCCCTGCACCCGCATGGGAGACCCAGAGGAGGCTCCTGGCTTTGGATCGGCACAGCTCCGGCATTGCAGCCAATTAGGGAGTGACCCAGTGATGGAGGACCTCTCTCTCTCTGCCTCTCCTCTGCATAACTCTTTCAAATAAATAAATAAATCTTAAAATAATAAAAAAAAAAAAGACAGGGATGGGGGCCGGCGCTGTGGCAAAGGCAATAAAGCCGCCGCCTGCAGTGCTGGCATCCTATATGGGCGCCGGTTCAAGTCCCGGCTGCTCCACTTCCAATCCCGCTCTCTGCTGTGGCCTGGGAAGGCAGCGGAAATGCCTAAGTGCTTGGACCCCTGCAACCACGCGGGAGACCCAGAAGCAGCTCCTGGCTCCCAATCAGCGCAGCTCCAGCCGGTGTGGACATTTAGGGAGTGAACCCGCGGATGGAAGACCTCTCTCTCTGCCTCTGCCTCTCAAATAAGTCAATCTTTAAACAGAAAGGGGGCATGGGGCGGATGGCAGAGGCCCCCAGCCCCCAGGAGGCCCAGGGCAGAGCGCCAGCAGCTCATCCAGGTACAGCCACAGGACAGCGGGGCCGCCTCGCCACAGGGAGGCACCTGCTGCCACGCAGGATCCCAGAGAGGGTGCGGAGACGGAGCTGTCACTTCATAAGCAGACCAGCCCACCAGCCTCCTGGGAAAACTCTACTCAAAATCTGCCGCACTTCCTACCGAAAAGTCAACCACACACCTACCGCGCCAAACAGCCTTCGGCCAACACCCTAGGACCACGCCGCCTGCCCAGCTGGGGTGAGGGGCGCCTGGCCCCTCCTAGGTCACCCAGAAGCACTCCTGCCTAGGAAAACCACCTCCTGCGACGCGTGGCCAGGGGCCCGGCACCTCCCGGACTCTCCCAAAGTGACCACCGGCCCTTTCCGGAAAGCAGGAAGATAGAAGGGCCAGCGCTTCGCTCCTGCCACCGCAGCGGCTACGGCTGCCCGGCGAGCGTCCTCACTCCACCAGGGGAGGAGCGCTCACAGGCGCGGGGCGGCTCTGGGGCAGCCGCACCCCTGCTGGCGATGGCCAAGCTGCGGGACCTCAGGACCCCGGGGAGGACGGCCCCGGCGAGGCTGTGAGCGGGCCGAGGCCGGAACCCCACCCCGGGAGCCCCTGCTCCACGCGGAGCCGCAACACGGCGAGCGCTCAGCCCACTCCCGGCACAGCGCTCGGGCTCCGGGCCCCTGCCTTCCTGGGGCCGGCGGTAGAGCAGCCTACGGGGCGCACGCCACCGGATCACCCTGCCTTGACCTCACTGGAGCGCGCGCGTGTGCGTGTGCGCGCGCGCGTGTGCGTGGGAGGGGGGCTCCGCCAAGCTGCCTCCTCAGCCCAGAGACGGGCAGCAGGAGAGCCGGTGGGCCGGCGGGCCCCCCCAGCACGGCCCCGAGGGCCAGTCCCCGCGAGAGTCACACTGCGGGTCGCCCGACGCACAGGGGCACCCAAGGACGCCTGCCCGGGCCGGCAACTCTGAAACGCAGACCAACCCCGGGCCGGAGCCAGCGGCAGCCGGGCCAGGCCACCGCACCCGGGCAGGGGCGCCCGCGCCCCGCGGGACAGCCGCCCTCAGCGCGTCGCCGGCGAGAACTTCCCGGAAGCCGCGGCCGCCCGCCCCTCCCGCCGCGCGTCCACTCACCTGGGGGCAGCTGGAAGTTCTGGATGTTGGTCGGGTTCTGAGGCGGCTGCGGCAGGCGTGGGGCCAGCACGGTGGGCGTCAGGGTGGCCCGGATGCCGCCACTGGCGGCCGTGGGCGTGCGGGGCAGGCTCTGGGTCACGGCGCCGGCCGCGCCTTTGGGCAGCCCCGTGGGGGTCCCGGGGGCGGGCGGCGGGACGCCGGCCGGGCTGGGCAGCGCCCCTTGCATAGTTGGCCCCAGGATCATGCCGGGCGTCGAGCTGGCCGCGCCGCCGGCCGCCAGGGTCTGCGGGGGCGGGGGCGCCGCCGCCGCCGCCACCACCGTCTTGGGCGACTCGGCCTTGACCCCCTGCACGGGCGCCGCGGCGGGCACGCCTGGCCCGGGCTGGCCGCTGCCCCCCGCGGGGCCCCCGGCGGCCGGAGCGGGGGCGGGGGCGGGGGCGGCCCCAGCGCTGCCCCCGTTCTGCGCGGCGGCGGCGGCGGGGGGCGGCGCGGCGGGCGCGGGTCCAGCCGGGTGGCCGGGCGGCCGGGCCAGGGTGGCCGGCGCGGGCGGCGGCGGGGGCGGGGCGGCGGCGGGCGCGGGGGCGGCGGGGGGCGAGGGGGCGGCGGCGGCGGGCGCGGGGGGCGCGGCGGCGCCCAGGAAAGGGGGCGTCTGGATGACAGTGCCGGGCGCGGGCTTGGGCGGCGGCGGCGGCGGCGCGGGCCCGTTGTTGACCAGGCTGACAGCAGGTGCGGCGTGGTGCGAGTTCAGCAGCGCGGCGCCCCCATTCAAAGTTTGCGCGGCGGGGCCGGCGGGCTTGGCGGGGCCGGGCCCGGGGCCGGGCCCCGCGCGGGCGGCCGGCGCGGCGGGGCCGGCGGGCTTGGCGGGGCCGGCGGCGGCGGGCTCCGGCCCCGCGCTGGCGGCGGCGGCGGCGGCGGCGGCGGCGGGGACCGGGGCGCAGGGCCCCGCGCTGCCCTCGGGCGGCGGCCTCAGCTTCGCGGCCGGCGGCGCCGCGGGCCCTGCGGGGACAAGCGGGCGGAGCGGTGAGCCGGGGCCCCCGCGCCGCGGCCCCCCGCCCCCCGGCCGCGCTCTACCTGCGGGGGGCGGCTCCGGCGCCGCTCCGGGCGCGCCCTCGGCGGGGGCGGCCGCGCCGGCGCCCGCGGCTCCGGCCGGGCTGCCGCTCACAACATGGTTCCCGAGCGCGCCGGCGGCCGCGGCCCGCACCTCGGGCGTGCGCGGCGCGAGGTGGTGGTGGTGGGCCGCGCTGGCCGCCAGCTGCGACTCGAGCGAGCCCACCAGGTCGCTCACCACTTTCTCGTCCACCTCGCTGTTGAAGAAGACCTCGTCCAGCAGATCCGAGCCCGCCGCCATCTTCCCTCCTCGGCCGCCGCCGCCGCCGCCGCTCGGCCGAGCGCGCCTGGGCGGGGAGGAGGTTCCGAGTGGGGCGGCGCGGGGCGGGCGGGGGGCGGCGCGCGGCCGGCGGGGGGCGGGGGCGCGCGGCCGGCGCGGCCGGCGCTCTGCGCAGGCGCGGCGGCGCGCCCCGCCCCCGCCCGGGCTGCCGGCGGGCTCCGATTGGCCGCGGCGCGCGCTTAAAAGGCGCGGCCAATGGCTGCGAGCGCTAGAGGCCGGGACGCGCGCGGGCGGCCGGGCGGCCGGGCGCGGCGGCGGGCGGGCGGCCGGCGGCGGCGGCCTGCGGGGGACGACGGCCCGGGCTGCTGGGGCGGCGGGCGGCCGAGGGGCCGCGCGGGGCGGCGGGGGGCCGCGGCGGCGGGGGCCGCCGGCCGACCTCGCTCTTTGTCTCCGCTCCTCCAAAATGGCTGCGGCCGGGGCTGACAGGAGCGGGGCTGCGGCGGGAGGGACGCGGGCGCTGACAGGCGCGGCGCGGGGAGCCGGGCGCCCGGGGGCGGGGGCGGCTCTGGCCCCTGGCGGCCGGGGACTCCCCTCGCGGCGACCCCGGCGGGAGCGGGCGGGCGGCGGGCGGGGCCGGGGCGGGTGGCGCGCGCGCCCCGCCGGCCCCGCAGTGACCGCCGCCCGGCCGCCCGGGTGACCGCCGCCCCGCGACGCCGGCGAGCGCCGTGCGGGCGTGGGCGCGGGGCTGCCGGTGCGGGGCCGTCTTCGTGGCTCTCTCGCGGGGGGGAGGGCGCGGGGCTGAAACTGTTTACTGGCGGGTTCTGGGCGCGGGGCTTGGGGTGCGGCTGCAGCCCCCCGTGCGGGTGTGGGCTGGTTCTGTCCGTGTCACCTAACGAGCGTGTGCTCGGGCGTCGCTCGCGGCCCCCTCGCCCGCGTGGGAAGCGCAGAGGCGTTCGCCGAGGGAAATGCCAGCCCCGGCCCAGGCGGGCCTCCTGAGAGCCCAGGACGGGGTCGCCGCCGCGGGGAGCAGAGCTCGCACAAAGGGCCAGGGCTGGTGGCCGAGGAAGTGGGCTTTTTGTGTAACCGATAAAGCAGGAGGCTGCTCCGCTGGGCGGTGTGCGTCCTGTTCCAGGCTTGCAAACTGACCGCCGCCCCGACTCCCCCGGGTACCTGACTGGGGCTGAGCTGGATGGAAGTGTCGGGAGACTCGTGTAAACCTGGATGCCCAGCCGCGGCCTGAGCCGTGGGCTCCGCAAGGCAGCAGCGGAGGAGAGGCTGGGTACGTGGAATCCGCCCCCCCCCCGCGCACGCGCGCGCCCCAGTTCCAGTGGGCACCTCCAGCTTGGCGTGGGCAGGCGGCCTGAGTCCCCCACCCGGCAGAAACGCGGCGTTGGTGTGAAACCTCGGGATTCATTAGGGAGGCAGAGGGTGCTGTCCTCTGGGTCACTCCCCGAATGCCCACAGTGGCTGCAGGCCGGACCGAAGCAAAGCAGGACCTCACTCCGGGTCTCCGCGCGGGTGGAACCGGTCACCGGAGCCGTCAGCCGGGAGCTGTCAGGGATCCCAGGCACTCCCGTGGGGCAGACACCCGCCCCAAGTCTCGGGTTTCATGGTTGACTCCTGGAGCGGGGGTCGCACACGGCTGAGACCCGCTGCTTTGGGTCCGGGCTGCCCTGCGCCTGGGGAGGCAGTGGGGGTCTCTCCTGCCCTGTCACTGCCTTTCCAACCCCATCTGCTCGCAGATAGGGACCAGCTGATGCGAAGATGTTGAAGTGAGCGGCGCCGGACGTGCGGCTGTGCGGTGGGAAACACCAGTGCACGCGGGGGACGCGGGTCCCCCGGCCCCGAAGGCCCACATCGCTTGGATCACACCCGGCCGCTCTAGCCTGCTGCGGATGCCACCAGGACGCTAAGAGCCGTGCCGCCGTGTCCAGCAAGGTGGCTTGTGTGTCTGGAGGCCACACCGGAGCCTTCCAGCCCTCAGGCGGCTGGGTCAGCCTCCTGCACCCCCACGTCTGCTGATAGCCCCCCAGGAAGCAGCGAGGGGAGAGCCTGCCTACTCAGCCACACCTCCCCAGCGGGGGAAGGTGGGGCCACAGACAGGCACACACACCCCCCGCAGCCGGCAACTCTGCCCTCAGGTGACCAGGGCCGAGCAGGTCTTGCGGCTCCTCCCAGCCCAGGCCCACCCACAGAGGAGGGGACGCTGTCCACTTGTGGACCTTGGGCCCCCTGGGGACTCGGCCTGACTCCCTCCCGATGTCTGTGGTCTTCTTGTCCCAGCGGCAGTGAGGGAAGGGGCCTGGAAAGCAGTGCCACCTCGCGTCGCGAGGAGGGAGTGTCTGGTCGTGGACGTTACAGACGCCGTGAGTGTCAGCGACAGCCCAGGGCCCGGGGCCAGCGCCGCGGACGAGCACAGCCCAGAGCAGGCCTTGCTGGCCCGTCACTGAGTATGCGGTCACCTCCACAAACGAGGACAGCGTCAGATGCAGTGAGGCACACGGCAGACGTCCGGGGCTGGCATTTGGCACGTTGCCCCGCGGGATGCCCGCGCCCCAGAACGGAGTGCCTGGCTGGGGTCCAGCTGCTCTGCTTCGGATCCAGCCCCCTGCTGGAGGCAGACGATGACGTCAGAAGTGTTGAGTCCCGGCCCCGAGCGCCGATGTGGGACACCTGGATGGAGTTCCAGGCTTCGGGCTTCAGCCCGCCAGGCCTGGTTGCTGGGGAGTGCACCAGCAGGAGGAGGCGCCACCCGCTGTGTCTGGCTTTCCAGTAGACGGAGAGTGAGCAGATTTTAGAATTCTTGGCGTTTCCACGTTGCCCTGTGTGGAAGGTGGCACATTCTGTACCTCTCTTCCGTTGTCTGCCTGAAAGCCTTCATCAGTTTGAAAAGCGCAGCCGGGGGGCAGCTGGTGGCCTAGGCCCTCACCTGCCCAGCCCGTGGCCTTCCCCAGCCATGCAGACTCGGAGGTCAACAGATGGTCCACGCCCCAGGGACAAACTTGTGAGCTCATCCCCACCGTGCAGGTGCCACCACGACGCCCCATTCTACCCGCAGCGCAAGCTGGGCAGGCTCACACCCCACAGAGCCTCCGGGTCCTTCCCCGCGCCTCCGGCTTGTGGCGGCCTCACCCCAGCCTCTGTACCTGGCCTCTGTTCTCTCCTACGGGGGCCGCAGTCCTGGGAATTGGGATCCACCGAAATCCAGGATGATTTCATTGCAAGGTCCCCAACTGATTACATCTGCACAGACCCTGCTTCCAAATAAGGTCACGTGCTTCTGTCCTCAGTAGCCGTGAGGGAGGGAGGGGCCGCTATCACTCCAGCTCGGGGGCTGGGGTCCCGGGGGTCCCAGGGGCCCGCGCGGCAGGAGACAGGGAGGGATCTGGAGCAGGTGCACTGGCCCGGATGCGCTTCCTCCCTTTCCCAGGACAGTGCCGGTGCTCAGACCTGCGCCGACTGCGCCACACAGGGAGGAGTGGAAGGTTGACGAGGTCCAGGCAGCCGCCCAAGGTCTCCGTCTCACGCAGGGGCGGGGATGTCCTCCTGCGAGCCACAGAGGCCCCCAAGACCACGTGATCGGGCCCTGCCAGGGCAGCCGCAGGCTGATTGTTGGCAATTTCATGACCTCAGGTGATGTCGTGAACGCCCAAGTGGCCTTTGGCAGAAGAAAGGTCCCGCACCCCTGAGGGGCAGACCCCGAGCCCAGCCCTGAGGCTGCTCCTTCCAGGCATGAGGGCGGCCCACCCCCTCCCACGCCAGCCGCAGGACTTGCTGAGTCAGAGTCAGGTCTGCTTCCGCCACCGCCGACCCAGATCTCAGACGGGCTGTGGGAAAGCTCTCAAGTGACACCACGGACTGCTGGCCGGCCCTGGCGGGCAGCTGAGGGAGGGCCACAGCGCGTGGGCTCTGCGAGTTGGAGGGGAGCATGTCCACGCCCCCTCCCAGAGAGCAGGTACGGACTCGCCTCGCTTTCCGGGTGGAGAAGCTGGTGGCCGCCGGCCCCGGCCCCAGCTGGGCGGTGCGGTGCTGCCTGTCCACTTTCTAGACTCCTTGGAACCGCCTTGTTGGCTCGGTGTGTCCACTTCCTAGACTCCTTGGAACCGCCTTGTTGGCTCGGTGAATTCCTGAGAACCTGTGCCCGGTGGGAGGTCCGCCTCCTGAAGCCTGCAGAGTCCACGGAGCCACAGGCTGTGCACGGTGCTGCTGCCAAGTACTCGTGTCCAGCGTGGGGAATGTCGGGCTGCAGTTCTGGAGGCTGACCCCTGAATGTCACTTAGGCCAGAAAAAATGAGACCTGTACAATGAGAACCCTGTCAGAGCTTCAAACCTGCACATAAAGCAAGAAACACAGACCCACAGATATAGAACAAGAAACAGACCCACAGAAAGCTGCAAACACTCTTGGGAGAAACGAGAAGGAAGCAGGTGCGTCAGATATCTCCCAGTTCAAGACTCGGGGGACGGGCTCAACACTAAAACGATGTCGTTTTTGGACCAGCGCCGCCATCCCATAGGAGCACCCCTTTGAGTCCCCGCTGCTCCCTCCTGATCCAGCTCCCTGCCGACGCACCTGGGAAAGCAGTGGAAGACGCCCGAGTGGGCCCTGCCCTCCGTGGGAGACCCAGGTGGAGCTCCAGGATGCTGGCTTGGTCCTCACCCAACCCAGACACCGCGGTCACCTGGGGAGTGAACCCACAGGTGGAAGACCTCTCTCCCTCTCTTCTCTGTAGCTCTTTCAAATAAATAGTAAACCTTAACAAAAAATTAGCAAGCTGAGCTTCTGCCTGCTTCCCATAGGAGACAGGTCTGCCCCATCCCAGGTAGCAGTACAAACCCTGCAGGGACACACAACACCTCTCTGGAGTCTGCAGGCAGAAGTGAGGCGGACCCAGCCTTCAGAGGAAGGGACCAGTGCCGGGAACCGCCTGTTCTCGGCCTCCAGGCCGTGCCAGCACGGCAGATGAGACCCTGACGGCCCTGGTCTGAGGAGCTCCAGGGAGAGCCACTGCAGTGGCAGTGAGAGGAGGGGCCATCCCAGGAGGACAGCGCTGCAGAGGGAGGAGCCTCTGCCCGGGGTAAAGCAGCCGAGGTGAGAACAGGGCTTGGGGTGGGGGTGGGGGAGGCCACCAAGTCAGTCGCCTGCTAACAGACGAGATCAGCACTCTTCAGGCTAACACCAGGGAACCCACGGTCGCCACACACTGTCACCGTCCAGGCTACAGTGTCACCGCTTCTCAGAGAGAAAGAGGACAAGAAGATGGGGACTTAGCAAGGAAGGATTCTTTCTTTTTTTCTTAAGATTTATTTATTTATTTGGAAGTCAGTTACAGAGATAGATGGAGAGACAGAGAGGTCTTCCATCCACTGGTTCCCTCCCCAGATGGCCACGACAGCCATGGTTGGGTTGGGCCAAGGCCAGGAGCTTCTTCCAGGTCTCCCACGAGGGTGCAGGGGCCCAGGTGCTTGGGCCACCTTCTGCTGCTTTCCCAGGCCACAACAGGCAGCTGGATCGGAGAGGAGCAGCCAGGACTCCCAGCTGGTGCCCTTATGGGATGCCGGTGTCCAAGGTGGTGTCCTAACCCACTGTGCCACCCGCCAGCCCTGTGGCAGGGTTCTGACACAAGATGTGCCTTTAACAAGCCAAGAAGCGAAACGCCACAGCAGATAACTAGGGACTATAAAGTGGAAATTCTAGACATGAGACTTAAAATATTGTAAATGAAAAAACTGAGTATGCATGAAAGAGTGAAGGAGACAGGTGGGGACGCACAGAAGCCACAGGGCCTACAGACGGTCAGGACGTCCACGCGTGCACAGCTGGAGTGACCGGCAGACAGGGCCAGGACATCCACGCGTGCACAGCTGGAGTGACCGACAGATGGGGTCAGGACGTCCAGGCATGCACAGCTGGAGTGACCAGCAGACGGGGTCAGGACATCCACGCGTGCACAGCTGGAGTGACCGGCAGACGGGGTCAGGACGTCCAGGCATGCACAGCTGGAGTGACCAGCAGACGGGGTCAGGACATCCACACGTGCACAGCTGGAGTGACCGGCAGACGGGGCCAGGATGTCCACGCGTGCACAGCTGGAGTGACCAGCAGCCGGGGTCAGGACGTCCACGCGTGCACAGCTGGAGTGACCGGCAGACGGTCAGGACGTCCAGGCGTGCACAGCTGGAGTGACCGGCAGACGGGGTCAGGACGTCCACGCGTGCACAGCTGGAGTGACCAGCAGACGGGGTCAGGACGTCCACGCGTGCACAGCTGGGGTGACCGGCAGAAGGTCAGGACGTCCAGGCGTGCACAGCTGGAGAGCGCGTTCTGGGTGAGGTAGGTATCTGAAGAAACAGCGGCTGCGTCGCTAAAGGACGTCACCGCCCCTGTCTGATGAGTTCCATGGTGCCCTGTGGCAAGGCAGCTGAGACACCGGGTGCCCGCCTTCCGTGCCAGAGTGCGGGCTCTGGGCCTGATTCTGGGAGGCAGAGGGTGACGGCTGGAGTGCTTGAGTCTGGCAACTCCTGCGGGAGCCCCGGGTGGGCCGCAGGCTCCCGACTCCGGCCTAGCCCAGACTCGGCGCTGCAGCACTTGGGAGTGAGCCAGCAAACAGAAGATCTCGATCTCTCCACATCACAAATAGAAATACATAAAAATTCTGAAAAGGAGTCCTATGATCCCCTACCATGATAAATTCACAGAAAACCACATGAGGTGCATCACAGTCAAATTACTAAAGGCTGGCGCCGGCGCTGTGGCGTGGCGGGTAAAGCTGCCGCCTGCACTGCCAGCATCCCCTGTGGGCACTGGTTCGAGTCCTGGCTGCTCCACTTCCAATCCAGCTCTCTGCTGTGGCCTGGGAAAGCAGTAGAAGATGGCCCAGGTCTCCACCCACGAGAAGCAGCTCCTGGCTCCCGGCTTTGGATCTGTGCAGCTCTGGCCATTGCAACCACCTGGGAAGTGAACCAGCGGATGGGAGACCTCTCTCTCTCTCTACCTCTCTCTGTAACTCTGTCTTTCAAATAAATAAATCTTAAAAAAAAAGGGGGGGGCGGCGCCGCAGCTCACTAGGCTAATCCTCCGCCTTGCGGCGCCAGCACCCCAGGTTCTAGTCCCGGTTGGGGCACTGGTTCTGTCCCGGTTGCCCCTCTTCCAGGCCAGCTCTCTGCTGTGGCCCGGGAGTGCAATGGAGGATGGCCCAAGTGCTTGGGCCCTGCACCCCATGGGAGACCAGGAGAAGCACCTGGCTCCTGGCTTCAGATCAGCGTGGTGCTGGATCCGCAGGTGGAGCCGCAGTGAGCCATGGCGCCAGCCCTGTTCCTTTTTTTTTTTTTTTTTTGACAGGCAGAGTGGACAGTGAGAGAGAGAGAGAAAGGTCTTCCTTTTGCTGTTGGTTCACCCTCCAATGGCCGCCTCAGCCGGCGTGGTGTGGCCAGCGCACCGCGCTTATCCGATGGCAGGAGCCAGGTACTTCTGGTCTCCCATGGGGTGCAGGGCCCAAGCACTTGGGCCATCCTCCACTGCCCTCCCTGGCCACAGCAGAGAGTTGGCCTGGAAGAGGGGCAACCGGGACAGAATCCGGCGCCCCGACCGGGACTAGAACCCGGTGTGCCGGCGCCGCAAGGCGGAGGATTAGCCTAGTGAGCCGCAGCGCCGGCCCCCCCCTTTTTTTTTTTTTTTAAGATTTATTTTATTTATTTGAAAGACAGAGTTACAGAGAGAGGTAGAGACAGAGAGAGAGAGGTCTCCCATCCGCTGGTTCACTTCCCAGGTGGTTGCAATGGCCAGAGCTGCACAGATCAGCACCGCGCTGCGGCCATTGGAGGGTGAACCAACGGCAAAGGAAGACCTTTCTCTCTGTCTCTCTCTCTCTCTCACTGTCCACTCTGCCTGTCAAAAAAAAAAAAAAAAGGACAGAAAGGGGCGCGGCCACACCCCGTTGTAACAGACACTGAAAAGGTACCTCCCGCAGACGGCAGACCAGCAAGGTTGGATGGTGACCTGAACACCAGGTAAGGCAGGTTTCAACAGACGGAGCGCGTAAGAAAGCAGGCCAGTGCGCTGGTGTGGACCTTCAGACAGTTTCAAACTACAGTCAGCAAAACATTGACAGAACTACAGGCAGGAACAGACAATTCCATAATCATTGCTGGAGAATCCTGCGTGCACCACGAGGGACGCGCAGCCGAGCTGCTGCCTGGTGCCCTCAGCTCCCCGGGCTCAGCAGCTTGAAGCCCTCCGCCCCTGCTCAACACCCGCTTCCCAGCAGCCCAGTGTTCCTGTGGGGGCTCCTCCCACACCCCTCGAGCTGCCCTTCGAAGCTCCTTCCTCCTAAACACTTCCTGGGTCCCGCAGCCTCCTTGGCTCACCTTGGAGGCCAGCTCAACCTCACTGCTCCTTAGGACACCTGGAGAGCTACCAGAAAGCCCCCACACAAGGCCACACCCAGGCAGATTAAACCAGACACCTGGAGGTGGCCTCTAAGCTCCCAGGTGAGCCAAGGCCTGAGGTGGGAGCCCCAGGGTTGGGGGTGCAGCTGGTGCCTGGTGGTCAAGGCGCACCCTCAGCTCCCCGCCAGCCTGGAGGTCGTCAGGCTGGCTGGGCGGTTTGGTCCCGGCTCCATCCTCAAGGCCTGCCGAGGTTCCACCCGCAGAAGGCACTCAGTGGAGGCCTCCGGACAAATGCATCAGTGCCTGGGGGACCCAGGGCTCGGTGATCGGAGTGGCCAGTGCCTTCTGCTGTCTGCTGTCTGCACCGGCTGCCAGGAGAGCCCTCCTTCCCCTGGGTGGCCCTGGACCCACCCTTGTTCCCGGCCCGCCCACCCCTTAGACACAGAAACCAATCTGGGAGGCTGGGGTGGGGCAGCCACCCAGCACGCACTTTGCATTTCCTTCCAGAGGAGGTGAGTGCACAGCCTGCCCTCCCCCACCACCTCCGCCTGGGGCTTCCCTGCCCCCCACCACCTGGCCCAGGGGCTTCCCTCCCCCCCCACCTGGCCCGGGGGCTTCCCTGCCCCCCCATCACCTGGCCCGGGGGCTTCCCTGCCCCCCCAGCAGGCTGAGGAGCCACGCCCTCCACTCTCTAGAGAGAGTTTTTCCCAGTGCTGGGCTCTCTTCCAACACCCCCGAGAGGATGGGAAGGCATCCCAGCCCCCTCCCCACCACCCAGTCCTCCTCAGACAGTTTCAAGTCCTCCCTGCTGACAGGACAGAGGATCGCCCTGCCCGCCCTGGTCCACGCTTGGTCCCTGGAGGCCCCATGCCAGTCAGGTCACGTGACCGCCGGGGACTGGCTCTGCTGGTCTCATGCTGCCACGCCTAGGCTGGGCCCTCTCCCACTCCTTCAGCCGGGAGCCACGTGTCCTGGCGTAGGACGTTTCCTGGTCATTGTCTGCTCAGCGATGGCCCCTGTCCACCTGCGAGGCCACACCTGCTCAGGGTCCAATTCTGTGTTTTCTCATTTCCAACCTTACCGGAGATTATCTTTGAATTTTTCATTTCTCCCACCTTTTTTTCCACGAGTGCTTTTTCCTATCCTGTTCTTTTATAGCATCCTGTTCTGAGGCCACGGGTGTGATGGTCTCTCTCCCAGGGTAGGGGTAGGGATTTTCCTAGAGCCGCCTTGCTGGTTCACTCCCCGAAAGCCCGCAGTGGCAGCGCTGGGCTGGGCTGGGCACTCCATCCCTCTCTCTTGTGGGTGACAGCAACAGTGGCTTGAGCCTTCCAGAAAGCACACCAGCAGGAAGCCGGGGCGGGCCAGGCTGAATGCCCGCCCTCTGGCTGATGTCTCTGCTCCTCCTTGGTTCTGGTCCCTCCGAGTTCCCACACCCTGGTCCGAGGGAATCTGCCACTCGTGTTGGGTGTTTTCTCCCAGGAGCCGGGTGCTCTGCAGTCCGCGTGCCACGTGTGAAGCGCAGGGTGCTCACGGGAGTGCTGTGGGCCTTCAGCACGTGGCCAGAGTTCTTGGGAGGCCCAGACACCCCCAGTCTCCCACCTGGGGATACACCTACCACCAGGTGGAAGGTGAGCAGGGCAAAGGTTCAGCGCCCCCCAGTCTCCACCGCTGCGGCCCCGCCTCAGGCTTGCACTTGACCGTGGCTCGGCTCCACCCCCACCCCCACCCCCACCCCGAGAGCAGACCTCAGATCCTGCGCTCCTGCCTGCACGCAGGTGGCACACAGGGCACACACACTCCCGCTGGGGCCTGCGTCTCCCCCTCCTTGTGGTCAACGCCACCCCTGCCCTGGCACCTGGGCTCTGGCTTTCCGTGGTCTGCCTAGTCAGTGCCACCGGCAGAGATTTCGCCAGGTCCCCCTGCAGCCCTCCGTGGGCTCTGAGAGGGTGTGAGCCCCACGGGACGTCACCGCTGCACTCACAGGGATTCGTGTGCGCCGTCACCGTCAGAGTGACCCCCACCGCAAGGCAGCAGCAGAGGCTGGAAACCTGGGCGGCACCAAGTGCCCTCCAATGTCCACCTGCAGAAGACAAACCACGAGCCGTCCCCAGAGCCGGAACCTGGGAGGGTAGAGACTGGGTCGAGGGGGCACCGATGCTGAAGTCAGTGCCACAGGGCCTCTGGCCACGGTGGGAGAGAAAGAGGGCATTGTGGAGGGCTTTTTAAATTTCATTTGAAAGCTTTGTTTGTTTATTTGTTTCTTTAAAAGGCAGAGCATCATGCAACAGCCAGGATTGGGCCAGGCTGAAGCCAGGAGCCAGGAACTCCATCCTGATCTCCCGCACGGATGGCAGAGGCCCAGGCACATGGGCCACCCTACGCTGCCTTCCCAGCACCTAGCAGAGAGCTGGGATCGATCCGGCCCGCTGTGTGGGACAGATGCCCCTGTGGAGGGCGTTTGCCTGAGCAACCAGGTGACAGGGACGGCTGCCAGGGGCACAGCAGAGACAACGTTCCTGTCTTGGTGGACGGGGAGCCGTGGACTGAGCAGCCCACAGGCAAAGCTCCACACAGGTGAGATCCCACAGGTCAGTGTCACAGCGCCAGGCCCAGGCTGAGCGCTGAGCCCCAGGAGGAGCCCAAGGGAGACGCAGGCGCAGCCAGGCACAGGCGGCTTATGGGGCTTAGCCTCCCGCAGGGCCCTGGTGACCTTGACTGCTGTGGCTGCCGCACGGCAGCCTGAGGGGCGGGTAATAGCAGTGTGGAGGACTCCCGTGGAATTCTACCGGAAAGGGGAGCAGAGATGGAGGCAGCCAGCCAGGGAGCTATTGTGGGGAGCAGGGTAGGAGCAGGCAAAACCACAGATCACTCCCTAGAAAGGGGAGGAGTCAGCCAGGGGAGGGGGGCGGAGGGGAGCAAGCGTGGCCAGGAACACACTCACCTACTCCCACCTGAGGGAGCCAGACCTTCTTGGGACAAAACCAGAGACTGTAACACAGTGAGGTCACCCGATGCACTCGCGGGGGGGGGGGGGCATCGTGAGTGAATTGTTACTGAGAGGCACGGCTGACACCGGCCAGGGAGGGCTTCCTGGAAGAAGCAGGCGTACGGACAGAAATCAGCCAGAGAGAGGGGAGGGGGTGGGTCTTCAGAAAGGACCGTGGGCTGAGTGGGGGCCTGCAGCGGGGGAGAATGAGGGCGGCACAGGCCAGGTAGGGGAGGGGCTGTGTCTGCGGTGGCCTGGAGCTGAGGGCACCCACCCTGCACACCCAGGAGGGAGGGGGCGGGGCGCTCCCCTCACTGAAGACCACCTGCTGCTTCTGGCAAGGGTCCTCTGCACCCACAGAGCTGTGCCGGCCCAGCCGTGTGGCCGCATCACACAGGATCCCATCGATCACAGAGGATCCCATCGATCACAGAGGATCCCAGCACTCACACAGGATCCCGTCGATCACACAGGATCCCATCACTCACACAGGATCCCGTCGATCACACAGGATCCCCATCGATCACACAGGATCCCATCACTCACACAGGATCCCTATCACACAGGATCCCATCAATCACACAGGATCCCATCACTCACACAGGATCCCATCGATCACACAGGATCCCATCACTCACACAGGATCCCCATCGATCACACAGGATCCCATCACTCACACAGGATCCCATCACTCACACAGGATCCCATCACTCACACAGGATCCCCATCGATCACACAGGATCCCATCACTCACACAGGATCCCCATCGATCACACAGGATCCCATCAATCACATCACACAGGATCCCATCACTCACACAGGATCCCATCGATCACAGAGGATCCCCATCATGCAGGATCCCATCACTCACACAGGATCCCCTCACTCACACAGGATCCCCTCACTCACACAGGATCCCATCAATCACATCACACAGGATCCCCATCGATCACAGAGGATCCCCATCATGCAGGATCCCATCACTCACACAGGATCCCATCACTCACACAGGATCCCATCACTCACACAGGATACCATCAATCACATCACACAGGATCCCCATCGATCACAGAGGATCCCCATCATGCAGGATCCCATCACTCACACAGGATCCCATCACTCACACAGGATCCCATCAATCACATCACACAGGATCCCCATCGATCACAGAGGATCCCCATCATGCAGGATCCCATCACTCACACAGGGTCCCATCACTCACACAGGATCCCATCACTCACACAGGATCCCATCGATCACATCACACAGGATCCCCATCGATCACACAGGATCTCCATCATGCAGGATCCTCATCACAGTGATCCCCATCACACAGGATCCCCACACCCAGTGGCGGAAGACAGGCGCACACAGTGGAAAGCCAGCAGCCACTGGCGGTTTGGCCTCCATGAGCTGGTGCCCCGTCCTGTTTGGCTTCCTTCTGGAACCTTCTATGCCTGCGGTGTTCTGACCATGAAGGGAATGGCCTGTTTCTTCATGCCCCTCCTGAGTACTGGGCCTGTATCTGGTGCACATTTCGTACAAACCATCCCCAGCTGGACAGAGAGCAAACAGTCTGCCGCGACACGAGTCGCCTAACTCAAGGCCCTCGGGAACCCCCAGTCCCCCCGGGCCAGTCTCTCCTGGCCACCAGCACCTGTCCCCTGCTCCTCCAGGGTGCACAGGGCTTTGGGACGTGGAGCTCCACGTCTTGCTGGTTAGTCCTCACGTCTGTCAGCCCGGGGCTCACCCCCACAGGCCCACATCCTCTCTCCCTGCCTCCTCTGCCCTCGCGTTCCCCTCGGTCACTGGCCACCCACTTCACCGCTGCTTCCTTCTCCACGAGGGCAGCCCCAGCCTGGTTTCCCCTCACTTGTGTCACCCAGGGCAGGGCTGTCTGTGGGGCTTGAGGAAGAAGGGGTTCCTGCGAGGGCAGAGAAGGGGCTGGGCAGGACTCTGCCACCCTCTGACTGCCCAGACTGAAGAGGGCGTCAGGCTGTCCCAGGCACAGGTGAGGGTCAGGTCCGCTTCTGACTGTGAGCTGGCTTCCAGGAGATAACGCACAGGCGTGGGGACAGAAGTGACTGGCACTCTGGAGAGCTCCATCTGCAGAGTGGCATCGGAGGCGGCGTCCAGTTGGGCCATCGGTTGCTGAGGCCTTAGCTTGCGACGTGCCAAGAAGTAAGGGCACACCTGCCCCAGCAGAAGCCATTGAGATGGCAAAGACTCAGGGAGTCCTGCTGAGCAGAGAGGGGGTCCCTAAGGCTTTCCACAAGATGCCAGAGCACCTTGGTCCTAGCCATTCCCGTGGCCACAACACATGCTGGACGAGCTGGCACGCTGAGCCCAGAACACCAGGGAGAGGCCCAGAAGGCAGCACTCACTAAGACTTCAGTCCCAACTGCAGCCCCCTGTGTGCAACCCAGCCAATCACTCCTCTCCTCTGAACCAACCCACAAAGAGAAGGAGGTGGTGATGAGGCAAGAAGCTGAGAGGCCACCCACACTGAAAAAGAAGATCTAGTCTCCGCAGATCACGTGACTGTGCACACAGAGCCTAAGGAAGCCACTCAAGAACTCACAGTGGAGTTGAGTAAGGTTGCAGGATACAAGACTGATCTATGAAAATCTGTTGTATTTCTACACAGAAGGGAACAACCCAAAAATGGAATTAAGAAAATAATGCCTCAGGAATAAATTTAACAAAGTGAGTGCAAAACAGGTGTTCTGGAAACTATAATGCATCGTTGAAAGAAATGAAAGACCTTGCTAACAGAAAGATAGCCTATGTTCATGGATTGGAAGACTGAATACTGTTAAGATGGAAATATCCTTATTATTGACTTTTATTTGCTTCATCCCTGATGCCACTGGCACGTGAGATTCAACATAATCCTTATCAAACTCCCAGCTGCCTCTTCACAGAAATCGGTCCTTTAGTTCACATGGAAAGTCAAGGGGTTCAGTGCCCACAGGGCAGCAAACGGCTGGCCCTTCTCTCACTGGCCAGACCAACACCATGACCGCACCTGAGCCAACCGCTGAGTCGGGAGTCAGTTCTGCCGCCTCCCTCAGCCCCCTAGTTTTCACCTCTCTTGGAGGCTGAAGTTCGCAAAAGGGACGGGGGTTGGGGCTGGCACCGTGGGACAGTGAGCTAAGCTGCCAGCCTCCCGCTTCAGTGTGAAGCCCCTGCTGCTTGTCCCTGACTCAGCACCCAGCTAGTGCGCCCGGGAAAGCAGCAGACGACAGCACAAGCACCGGGCTCCGGGCTCGGCTCTGGCCCAGCCCCAGCTTCTGTGGCCATTTGGGCAGCAGATCAGCAGATGGCAGCTCGCTCTCCCCCCTCTCATTCTCCCCTTAAAACCAAACAAAACCCTTGAGAGAGGGGGCAGGGGTCACAAGTTCCTAGGCTGGGGCAATGAAGGCTGGTGAGCCTGAAGGGCAGCCTTGCCCTTCCTGCTGGGGGTCTTAGGTCTGGGGTCTGCTTAGCCCTAGAACAGGCAGCCCCTCAAGCCAGCTCCAGAGGGAGGCTTGCGACAAAGACCCTCCGTGCCGCCAGAGGCCCCCAGTGTTTCCATGGGCCTAGCCTTGGAGATGCCCCTGGGGCTGCACCTGTGCCCCCCCACCATGTGCAGGGCCACCAGCTTCAGCCTCTACCCCACACAGGACTGGCTGGCCCAGCTGGACAGCGGCTTCTCTGGCCAGCTGACCATCCTGAGCACCAATTCAGCAGGGCACTGGGTGGGCACTGAGTCCAAAGAACAGGACCAGGGCCGTGTCACCCTCCGCAGGGGGCCTTCACTCTCCACAAACTGGCACGTGGGGCCACCCTGGGGGCCGGCCCCAGGATGGAGCCCTGCAAACGAGCCTGGCTCAGACCCTGCTCCAGCTGAGCAGCCTGAGTGGGGCAACCGCGGGGCTCCTGCTGTCGGTCCCAGGCCAGATCATGCTCGCCCAGGGGACCCCAACCACTGCCGAGCAAGGCTGTCCCACCCACGTGGGCCCCCTCCCAAGGCCAGCCGGTGCTGCGGGAGCCCCTGCCCAGCTGGCTCAGACTTCGCTGGGTCCCCACCCTACCCGATCGGCTTCCTCCCTCCCTCCTCTCAGGAACCTCTTGCTACCTCAGCATCTGCTTCCCAGAGGACAAACGAGCTGAGACCAGGAACAGAGCAGCGCAGACAAGATGGGCTCCGGACAGGGTCACTGCCCCCAGCCGGCGCTGCGGGCACACACAGCTGGCCCAGGCTTTTCCTCCAAGGATGACCCGGGAGAAGAGGCCGGTGCAGGGGCTGGGGGATGGCACCAGCCAGCGCCACGATTCAGACCGTCCCAGGTGCCTGAGACGTGTGGGGAGGGCTGTTGACCAGGCTGCACTGCCGGAGAGGAATGACGGCAATTAAACAATTGAAAACCAAGTGTGAGCGCCGGTGAGTCTGTTGGCAGCTTCAAAGAAGCCCTCGGCACACGGGCACACGGCAGCAGCTCAAGTTCAAGTACGGGTTTGGTGCCGGAGGGGCTGGACTTCCAAGATGGCCGAGCGCCCGACTGAGGCACGGCTGACGCTGAAGTCAGGGCCCTGGCGGGAGCCCCGCCCCTCCCCTCCCCTCCCCTCCCCTCCCCCGGGGTGGGGCACGGAGGAGTCCCTAGTTCGGTCCTCAGATTCTCCTGAGCTGCAGAAGTGGCCCAGCCCCGCCCTGCCCACCAGGAGCCAGCGCTGCCCAGAGGCAAAAGGCACCTCCCTGGGAGGCTGTCCCCACCTCCCCCTGGGCCACTAGGCCTGCAACCACGCTTGTGCACGACAGGCTGGGCGGAGAGGACAGGGGCAGCAGCGAGGCTTGGTCAGCACTCCCTCCCAAGGGGACCTGGGGCACTCAGGACTCTCAGAGCCGTGAGACCCACGTTGCCTGGCTGCCCTGTGACGTACACGTGTGCCCACCCCAGCAGAAGACTCTGTAGCCAGGGTGAGGGTGGCCCGAGACTGCAGAGGCGACAGTGGAGGAGGGAGGGGAGGTCTGTCCCCACCAAGGCTGGGAAAGGGTGGGGAGCCGTCCACGCACAGGGCGGGGCCAGCCACCTGCCGGCTGCTGTGGGAGCCCGTGGGTCTGCTGTGGGAGGAGCTTGTACCACGCCCCCAGCCAGCCGGCTGGACTGGCCATTTTGCCCAGCACAGGGCTGTTGCACTGGGCACTCCCCGGCGGCCACCGTCCGTGTGTTCCTCCGCCGCAGCTCCCGGCCCAGCCCGGCTTCCACCACTTTCCTCAGCTGAGTGTCCCCCCACAGCCCTCCTGCGGGGCCCTTGTGCGTGGACAGGCAGCTTGGTCAGCGAGGGCCCTATTTACTCAGCACCACTTGGGGAGGACGTGCGTGAGGAGTCTCACGACCACGGCTGTGCTGGGAGGATGGGCAGTCGCTTGTCTGTGCAGGTCCTCACGCCCCCGTCCCACAGAGGTCACTGGAGACCCGTCCCTGGTGCCGCACTGCAGGCCGTCGGAGCGCTTCCCGGCACGGCGCCCTTCCCGGCACGGCGCCCGGCGTGCACCGGCCATCGCGTCCTCTGCTGCCTTTCCCTCGGAGCGCTCACCCCAGGCTCCTTTTTCGGGGACGGGGCCGTGTGCTCCGGGATCAGGCTTGCGGGTCTGCCAGGCCTCAGGGCGGGGTGGGAAGGCAGGGACTGAGACCCAGGGACTGCTGGGGGGGGGGCTGCGGGAAGGGCACCTGCCAGCCCGAGCCTGTGGGCAGCTGGGGACAGGCACACAGGACACTTGGCTCAGAGGCACTCACCTCGACAGGGCGTGACCCTGATCCTGCAGGGAGGAGCAGCCGGTCCCCACCACAACCCACCTCCTGGAGCCCCCGGGCCCCTCACTCGGGGGGGGGGGGGGGGGACTGGCGTGGCCCCTGGGACCCGCAGCTGTGCTCCTGGACCTAAGAAGAACTCAGCTCCGTACAAACGTTCACAGCAGGGTCAGGAGCCTGGAGCACACCCGGGAACACGCACCAAGCAAAAGCAGCCAGGCAAAGCAGCCGTCGACCCCACGATCCCACTTACAGCGACCGCCCGGACACGGGGGAGGGAACGGGTTTCTGCAGGGGTGAGGGCCCTGTCTGCACGCAGTGCCCTGTGGCCGTGAATACATCCCACACCACTGAGCAGACCGCTCTCAACGGGGAACCTGACGGCAACAGGGCTGCGAGGCAGCGAGTGATCACAGCACAAGGTCTGGCCGGGTCGACCCACATGGAGCCGCCCCAGGGCTGCGCAGCGGCCACTGAACGTCCCGAGGCAAAGGGGGCACCCAGGGAGGACAGGGACATCTGCGTCCACCAGGGCTCGCCTGCAAGTGCCCAGCACGGTGAGCCACTGGGAAAGAGTCCCCGGCCCTGTCCATCCCACCCGGCTCCCTAGAGAAGAGTCCCTCCCAATCTGCCCACACTCAGGGGAACCACCCGCTCCCATCGTGGGCGTCACGGCTGGCGCCTGCCCCCTGGGGCCAAGTCGGTGTCTGCCGGCTCCCGGCACACTGGGTGTCGCCATCCGGAGCCTCAGTGCAGCCCACGCTGCCAGCGTGGTCAAGGCAGCAGCGGCAGGCGAGGATGACCGTGTTAACAAACTGGACTTGACACGAGGGAAAGTAACTGGTACCTGGCTTGCTGCCTTCTGTCCCCAGGATGTTTGCCTGCAGGTGATGGACAAGGAGCCGCCACTTGGCTCGTGGCACGCTGCCAGGAGGGGACAGGCTTCGGGAGGCCTGGGCCGTCCACTTATGTGGGGACCCCGGCTCTGCTCTATCAGTCAAGCACACAGAAGCGCCCAGCCTGGCTGGGATGCTCCCACGTAGGCCCCCGGGTTACCATGGCAACCCCTAGGACACAGTGGATAAGACGCAAGAGGGGAGACCCTTGAAGAAGTAACTGCTCCCTCCGCAGCCAGCGGCCAGGCTCCGGGCGCCCACACAGCCCCCAAGTGTGAACTCACATCTGCTCTCCGGCCCTGAGCCGGACAGGAGGGCCAGCGGCGGCAGACTGCCACACACCGGCTGGGTGACCCTGGCCCAGTCACCCAGCTCGGGACACCACGCCTCAGAAAAATGCAAGCCGGCTGGGCACTGGGCCTGGCCCAGAGTGGCAGGCTCAGGGGACAGGGCCACGGCAGTGGTGAGTCGGCAAGAGCCACTTCCCATCCAGATAGGACCTGGGTCCCGGCACGTGTCCCCACCCAGGCCGCTCCCCGGCTCTTCGAGCTGACCAGCCTCAGGCACACGGCCTGCGCTCAGGCCCCAGGATGTCCCTGCTTTTCTGAGGTGCTCCAGGGCTGGCCCTCCTGGAGTCTGAAGTCTAGCTCCTCTGTGATGTCCCACAAGGCCGTCTCATCACCATGTGCCCTGCACACCTGGAAAGCTGGGGGGTGTGGGGAGGGGAGGAAGCGCCGGCATCCCACATCAGCACCTGTTGGAGCTCAGGCTGCTCCACTTCCGATCCAGCTCCCTGCTGTGGCCTGGGAAGCAGCGAAGATGGCCCAGTGCTTGGGCCCTGCACCCGCGTGGGGACCCGGAGGAGGCTCCTGGCTCTGGATCGGCCCATCTGGGGGGTGAACCAGCGGATGGAAGACCTCCCTCTTCCTCTCTCTGCCGCTCTGTAACTCTGCCTTTCCAATAAGTAAATAAATCTTAAAAAGAAAAGAGCTAAAAGGGGAGGGGTCGAGCATGCATGAGCGGAGCCCTGAGTGGGGAGGGCTTTCAGCTGCCTCCACAGACAGCAGGTGAGACCACAGGGCGAACACCTGCTCCCCTCTCCCTTCCTAAGCAGCTCAGCTGGGCCACTGGGCCAGCCCCTGCCCCGCCTGTGCCCCCTCAGCTCCCTTCTGGCTGACGCTCTGCCCGGGTGGAGGAGGACGCGCCCCTGCAACCCCCCCACAAGCAGGTCTGAACCAGGAAGAGCGAGGCCCAGCTCCCCTGCCCCACACTTCAGGCCCCGGACTCGGCTCTTAATTTCTTCTGAATCGACTCAGCTGTTCTGTGCACCCTCGTTGAGCAGTGACACCTGTGACAGCAGCGGGTGCTGGCCATTCCGAGGTGGACCTCGGGGTCACGGAGGGCTCTCTGGGCAGTACTCGCTCACCTGCTGGACGGCACGGGCCGCGCAGCCCCAGCAGGGCTCCCATCCCCACGCCATCACACGCGGAAGGTGCTGAGTGGCTCCGGCTGTGGCCTCTGCTGTCCTCCACGCCCCCCAGTCTCCACCTGCAGGCCCCTGGACACTCCCAGAGCCCCTCACGGGCCGGGCAGGGAGGGCACTGTATTCCACAGTCAGCAAACGCAGGACGGGGGCAGGGAGGGGCCCCACCCGCTAGGGCTTCCCACAAGTCCTTGCCCGTTTCTCTGCACCGCTAAGCTTACGGGTAGAACTTGGGGCTTCAAGCAGGCGGCTTTTCGGCGGGTGGACGAGAGCCGCGTGTCTTCTCAGGCAGGCATGGAGGCTGCCCCAGCCTGGGGAACGAGCCACGGCAGCGGCCCCCTCCTCAGCCGTCCCCAGTGTCCTCCACTACGGCGGACATCAAGGCGTGGGCGGCAGGCCCGGCATCCCTGGACCTGGGCGCCGCGTGTGTGCTTACAACTGCCCTGCTGGGCGCTTGCACCGCGGCCACACCCCAGGCGCCAGGTGGGCACTGGGAGGCCCCGAGATCAGGCCCTCAGGTTCCTGGGAGAAGAAAGCGCCCCCAGCCCAACCCGGAGGCTGCTGGCCCTGCCAGCACCTGGGACCCCCGCCCGAGTGGGCTCCCGGGGAGGGAAGGCTGCCCCGCGTGCGTCGGGGGTCTCCTCGCGGCTGGGCCGTGTCTGTCCTCCCCAGCACACCCCCAGGAGCACACAGTCCCACAGTGGCTGAGGCCTGCTACCTTCTCTTCTGCTTCCTGGGGCTGGTTTTGGCCAGCTGCCCCGGTTCCGGTTCCTGTTCCGGTTCCGGTGGGGCCACAGCGGCAGGTGTGAGGTGACCGTCCGGTGAATGTTTCGCGCCCTGAGCAAGTTCAGTCAACACAGACACGTGAAACCAACGATCCACAGAGCAGCTCCGACTCGCTGTACCCTGTCTCCCTGCGCTTTGTCCAGGGCCGGCCCTGGCCCTCCCCGGGACACTCGGCGGCCCCGAGGCGGGGACAGGGTGGGCAAGGGCCCTGGGGCATCCCGTGTCCAGCGCCCGGTTTCAAACCTGGCTTTGCTCGGGACCCACCTCCCTGCTGGGAGGCAGAGGCCAGGGCTCCGGCCCCCGGGCCCCCGCTGGCCGCGCGTGGGCCCCGCACGAGGCCCGGACAAGCTGTTTAGGGGTTTGGGGAGTGACGCGGCCGACGGAAGAGCTCTCTCCGCCTTACAAATAAGTTTTTTCTTTCGTTTTGATTTGTTTTGCCTTTTTTCCTTTTTCT